GCTGAGGCAGGATTGCTTGAGCCCAGGAGTTCAATCGAGGCTGCAGTGAGCTATGATCACATCACTGAACTCAAGCCCGGGCAACGCAGCAAGACCCTGTCTATAAAAAAATAAAAAATAAGAAATGTCTGTAGACATTGCCTAATGTTCCCTGAGGGAGTAAAACTGCTTCCTGTTTAGTGCACTAAACTTATGTTCAAATAACTTTCTTAAAGAGGCAGAGTTTAATAAATTGACACTATTTTACCAATAAATAATACCTTCAAAAGAATTTAGTGGGGGGTAAAAAAATCACATGCTCTATAATTTTCCACTGAGGACAACAGAAATAATCATTTAGAGCAACCTACCAATTTCGACATGTCATTCATGAGAGGGACAATCAAAACAATGATGTTGTTGTGAAAGTTAAAATGAGGTAGTGCCACCAATAGCTCACACAGGCTCTTCACAGCCACTTCTGCCAGTCCTTTGTATGCCTTCAAGGAAACTACATTACTTTTCTTCAGCTTCCTTTGTTTCCAATCTAATCAAAAGATAACTGCAGTTGTTATTCACTTTACTGATTGGTCAAAACTTAATCTAATTGGCTTTCTTTTACAATAAATGTATATTTTACCACAAAAAAAAAAAAAAAAAACTTAATATATATTAACTATATGTAAAATATACATTCATTATATATATCAAATATATATTAAATCTGCATTCATGCCACACATAAAGATGTCAAATGGCTTAAATACTTCAATATAAAAATTAAAATTAAAAATCTGTGAGGAGAAAACCTATAAATCTAGAGATTGAGTAGGCTCTATGCATGACAAAAATACAGCTTCATATCTAAGGCTCAACGCAAATTAAAAGGCAGAGTAACAGAGAAAAATTTGTACATATGTAACAAAGAATTGATATTCTTACTATACCATGTAAGCTCCACAAACACAGTTTTATTTCTTTTCTTACTATTTTATCCCCAGGACCTATAATAGAATAGTGCCTGGCACATAGCAGATACTCACTGAAATGGATGTATATTAAAAAATGATCACAAGTCTTTTAAAAAAAATAAATGAGGAGAAAAATTGACAAATATTACAAACAGGCAAAAAATTCAAATGAGTAATAAATATATAGAAGGAAGCAAAACCTCAATACAATAAGGATGTACAGATAAATACATGTGCAATATATATATATAGCTTTTCATCAACCAGACTAACAAAGACTAAATGGTAATAACATTCTGGGTAGGTAGCAGGGAAATGACACTCATATCATTAGCGGGAACATAAGTGATAAAATGTTTCTGGAGGACAATTTGCCATTCTCTCTCAAGTGCTTAAACGTGATTACTGTTGAATCTAGTGACTACACTTTAGAAATTTAATTCAGAGAATACTCACACAATATGAAAATATAATATAGCCAAAATGTTCTCTTCAACACTGACTATAAATCAGCAAAAACCTAGAAACCACTCAGCTGTCCATCCAGTTGGGGGCTATATATTTATATAATGGAATATTATGGCAAATATTAGAAAGAATGGAATACCCCTACATATAAGTTCACAATATATAAAATGAAAAGTTCCAGAATAGTTTTCATAATATAGGTTCATTTTTCTTTTAAAATATAAGCAAGCATGTATACCTATATCTGCACAGGAAAATATCTAGAAGGATACAAGGCCAAACTGTTAACAGTGCTTGCATTTAAGACATTTGAGTACTTTTACTTTATACACTTCTATAAAGAATAAATTCCTCGTAACAATTGAAAATTAACTTGGTAATTTAAAACAAATAAAACACAAAATAAGAAAAGAAAGACTTACCTCTGGCCTAACTTCGTAATTTCTGCCCTTCACAAAACCAGAAATCACTTTAATTGCACCAAGAGAAGCTTGGCCTAATTTATCTTGTTTAAAGAGTTTCTTTACTGCCTCACAACACATTTCAGATATCTGAAAAATAAAATGTTACACTTAACCAATGTTTCTCAACCTTAGCATTTTTGGGTGAGATAACCGACATTTTGGGTGAGATAATTCTTTTTTGTTGGGGAGCTGTCCTGTGAATTGTAGGATGTTTAAAAGTTTTCCTGGCCTTTACCCACTAAATGCCAACAGTAACACTCCCCCACCACCACAGTCATGACATTCAAAAATGTCTGCACTCACACCTGAAATCCCAGCACTTTGGGAGGCTAAGGTGAGAGGATCATTTGAGGCCAGAAGCTCAGGGCCAGCCTGGGCAACACAGCAATACTCCGTCTCTACAAAAAAAAAATTTTTTTTT